TAGCATTTTAACTATAGTCTTACTGTCAGACACATTGAATGCATAGATTCTCTGAAGCATGGTCATTCACTGCTGCAATTTAGTTCACTGCATCATATAATTACTGGAGTGTAACTGTGAAAATTAACTAATTTTTTTTCATGAAGAACCAAAATACTTCTCCTGCCGTAGTAGAGTGGGTTTAAATCGCTTGCATAGTTATGCTTTTTGTTGTTGTTGTTACACAAATGCAGTGACTTGTACTGAGACAATTCATCATTTAAAGGAAAAAAATAAACTTGTGGTTAATAATTTCCAGTAAGACCAAGTGTAATTGTTAGCCTACTAATGGATTTTTAAACTTTAGGTGACAGTTGATTGTAAGGCAGCCTACCTTACGTGGTTATGGTTACCACAGGAAGGAGAATAAAACCTAGAGTTTTCAAAGTTAGACTGATAATATTTTAGCGTACTTCTAAATGTAACATCCATTAACCAAGTGTCTCTTCTTCGTGGTAGGGTCTACCTTCTGCTTTCCTGGAAAGGATGACTTTACATCATTTGATGAGCCTATTTCACGTTTTTTGGTAGTTTATTTGTTTGTCTATGCAGTCTGCAATAAAACTGTTAAATACAAAGAATCACAGCCCGTTTCCAGCCTTTAGATTTGTTTGTTCACTGCTGACCCAACAAAGGAAGCCACCAATTTTGATAACAAGGCAAAAGGATTTACCAAGGAGATGGAAGGGCCCGTTTCCCTCATGTCACCATCTCACTATGTCCAGGTGTATGCGAGGCTTCTCCAGCAAGGAATGGGGGGAGGGAGCACAGCGAGAAAAGACACCTGTGGAGGCCGAGTCATCCTTTCCTGGACACAGACCTCCCTCCCTGCTGGTGGAAATGAAGCTGGACTCTGACCTCCTGTTACTGGGATCCACAGACCCTGTGCATGGGTCTGCCTGCCCCCGGCCTGGTCCTCTCTGCACTCAGCGCAGGTGTAGTCCCTCCCAGGAGAACTCCTGAGGCTTCCCCTCTTATAACCTCGGTCTAAAGGTGCAGCAACTCCTGGTGTGGCTCCTGTAGATCGATAGCCTACCCCGTTGTTCCCCAGTATACAGGGATGACACCCAGAGAAGGTGACATCAGTTTAGAAGGGATGCAGTCTATAGACACAGCAGGCCCTGGCCCAGAGCAGCAGGTCTCCCGGCCCAGTGGGTGGATGTTGGGAGGACCCCACCTGGGTTTAGGTAATGTTCCTGTTATTCCTCCACCACTACCAGGTAATGTTCCCTAAATTCCACTGCAGCAATCTGGTTTCCAACCCACTCAGGGAGAAGGCGAAACTGCAGAGGAGCTGCCACAAGGAGCTACTTGCTTAGTGACAGGTGAGAACCACCTGTAATCCCAGCACTTGTAATCCCAGAGGCTGAGGCAGGAGGATTTCTTAGGAGTTTAAAGCCAGCATGGGCTTCATAGTGAGTTCAAGGCCAACCTAGAATACATAGTGAGACCCTGTACGGGGGAAAAAAAAAAAAAAAAAAACATGAGTGGAAGCCTTCCTTTCTCCCCCACTTGTAAAAGCCATGTCCCCAGGCTCTTCAGAAGAGCCTCCTGGGCTCAGCACCAGTCTTTCTGCCCAGCCGGTGCGGTGACATGTCCCTCCAGCCCTGTTGGGCCCCTGGGCAACTTTCCCAGCTGCACACTGCACACAGCCTTTGTCTCCACAGGTTGGAAAAACCAGACCAAAGCAAGTCCTGTGGGCAAGGCCAAAACTAAGGGAGAGCTGTGAGCCCACAGGAAAGGCAAGGCAAACCGGCCACAAGGGACAAGGTCTACTGCAGAAGAAAAATGGTTCTTCGTTCTTGGTCTTTTTGTCTGGCTGGTTTCCACCTGTGGTAAAAGCACAGATCCCTTCACACTTAGGAGACACGACGTGAGCATCAGGATAGCACCATGGTTTCCAGTACATCACCACAAACTTTGATTATTCAAACTAGTTAATCTGCCATCGAGTAATTCCCTCCAGGATCCCTGCCCAGAATGCTTCCACCAGTTGATGGTTCTTGAACGATAAAGATCGTTCACCACGGTATCTTGCTTTTCTCTGTGGCGGCTCAGTTAACTCCTAACATTTGCCCTCCTTACTTACTTTGCCCCAATAAGGCGCATGCATTTTAATGGCATCGGGGACGTCTGGAAGCTGCCCTGTTCAGTGTTGTGGGCCCAGCTGGAGAGGCCAGGCAAGGTAACTCACTCGTGTGTCCTATCACAACGAAGTAGATAGCTATTCATGAACTGCTTCTCTCACCAAATAGTTTCTTTTGACCCGTCAGACCTTTCCAAGTTTCTGTCTATAGAGTCGACACATCCCAACATGCAAGGATTGGAGATGACATGCATATCCAGGAAATAACAGGATGTATTGTACATTGGAAATGGCCAGCCTAAAGGGTGATGGATGGAAAACTCCTATTGCTTCGTTGATGGCCTTGGAAGTGTGTGAAAATAAATCTGTCATCATGAGTTGCATTGATCTTTTAATTAAAAGTACCCAGCCGCATTGACATGCCCAATGAACACGTTTGTTTACAGTCATTAGAGTGAAGAAATTTGGGAAGGGAAATTGTGTTCCTGCACGTTTGACTTCTGCTTCATAATTCTATCACCTTGATCAGATGGGCTATACTACATTTCTGCCGGAGTTCCTGGAGGCCAGGTAGGAGCAGTATGCAGAGAAGCAACAGAGCCCTGAAACTGGGAAGACTCTATAAACTGGGGCCCCTTGCTTTCTGTAGGTAAGACCCATGTCTACAGAAGACCGCCCCTGCTACCGTGTCACTGGGGAACCTGGCTTGTGGGGAGTCTGAACTTGCTCCCCTCCTCAAATGCCTTTGTCAATTGCACATGGCATGAGAAAGATGTACGAACCATGCTGAGCCCTAACATTCCTAAGCAGAGACATGCTTGGATATTTTTAAGCTTAGAACACAATGTCCAATGGTGATGCAAGCACAAACTTTTCACTCGCTTGGCTGTTGCTCTGAGACTTTCCCCAGAGGTTACACATTTATGTCCAAGAGTCATGTTGACAAGGCATGGCAGGTTACAGCTGTAAAGAGAGGCGCTTATTTGCAAAATGTGTCTTTATCTGTTGGTTCCCCGGCTAGTTAATGGAGACCTGAGCCAGAATCTTGTTCTTGTCCTCACCACATTGACAGATGTTTTAACGATTTTCTCCCACTCGAGCACCTGGCCTGCTACTCCTACCTAAGCCTATTTCCACCTCCAAGAGGGTAGATTGAAGTACACTTCTTCTCCGGAAGATATAAAGAGTCAGAAAAGTGAGACCTACCTCATTTAAGTGGCTTGTCCATGGTCACAGTTGCTGGCAGAGTTTGAGTTGCATTCATCCAGCTTTTTGACTTTTCTGATTCATTTTTAATGTTTTTTATAGGAAAAAAAATTTTGATTTCATATTAAATAAAATTATAAAAGAGGCAAACTTACAAAAAAATGAGACTTTGGGGAAGATGGTGGAGTGGCGAGCAGCAGAGAAAGAGCTTCTCCAGGATTTGGTGTCCAGACCCTGGGATGCAGCAACATGAGGAAGAGAAGAAGGAGGGACGTGGGTCCCCGGGATCCTGGAAAGATCTGAAGCAAGAATTGAAGCCCACTGGGAGAGCGAAAAGAGAAACTTCAGTGAAGGAGGAGGCGGCGGCAGCGCTTTCTCCCTGGGCCCTGACTCGCCTGGACCATCTCCTACCCCACCGTAAAGCTGCTGCTGGCTTGCTGGGATGGATCTACATGGACCTGGACTCTGCCCACGACAGCGGAGACACGTCTGAAAGTGGACATTTCTTCCTTTTTTCTTTTTCTCTTTCTCTCTTTTCTTGTTTTTGGTTCCGTTTTGTGTTTTCTTCATCGTTTGATCTTGTTTTTATATAAGTGTGAACATGGTTTCTAGTTTTGTTGTTGTTCTGTTCTTGTTTTTATTTCTCCCTTCTCCCTTCTCTCTTTCCCTCCTTCTTCCCAAAGTTTGTGTGATCCTCCTTTGTCCTCCAGCCTTGATGCTAGCCTCTTCCTCTTCTTCTATTTCTCTATTTTCCCCCTAATAGCTTTTAAATGTTCTCCCCTGAGGGTAAAATGGCCATACTGAGAGCTTATTTACTGCATACAATTTTCTGATTCATTTTATATTTTGTTAGATAACCTCAAAGAATATTCACACTATGGAAAGTTATTTAGGCCAAAAACAGTCTACTGATTTATAATCTTTGTAGCTAATATACAGTCTTCTTTTGAAATTGATTGAAGTAGAAGAGATATTGGTTAGATCTAAATTCAGAATTTCCTAATTTTAATGTCTTGTGTCAGTTTTAATTTTCTGATTTAATTAGTTTCCTAATTAGAAGGGTTAAATTAATTAACCTCATTATTTACTATATATTTAATGATTTCTCCTCTACAGGGAGAGACTGAGTTTTCAATAATTGGAAAGCTTATGACAAGAGGGAATATTGCCACGTTTTACAATCATTGCTGTATGATCAGCGGCCAGCGTAGGACAGGTTGAGGAGCATTTCAGGTGCGATGTCAGCAAAGGCTACTTTCCGCTTGCTTTGAAACATGATGCCTATAGAAATGTGGACTGGGTCAAATAATTCCCACAATGGATGTGTCTTTCTATTTAAGGATATCCTATAACATAGACTTTTATATTATAAGAAATAACTAATACACAATCTGAATTTAGACAGTAGTCATCAAACATTGAAAAGATTAAATAATTACCATGACAAGAGAGTGTCTCAAGCTATCATCTAGTTTCCTGTTATCTATGTTGCACAATACTGTGTTTAGTTTTTTCCTCAGGTTTTATCAATGGATAGAATGGGTTACATTTTCGGGAAACAGTAAAATCATAAGCTTAATATCCACAGGCTCTGGGACTCAGGTTGGCCTTGCTGCTTCCGGTTAGTGCGTGTGTAAGTGTAAGTGACCGGTGGGTGCCTGTCTTTCAGTGGGTGTAACAAGACTGCACCTACGAGGGCTCCATCTGCCCCTCTCCCCCCGTGCGGCAGCCTGGGTGTAAGCTGGAGCAGCCGGTCCTCAGCAGGCAAAGCGCCCAAGAAGCCGCAGCAGCATGGACACGGAGTCTCCTCAGTGCCCACATCCATGGTGCTGCCGCCTGGGGAGACCTGGATGCACAGAGGTCACAGGAGGAGAGCGTGGGCATAGCTGCCAGTGCCAGGCAGGCGCTTGTGCCGCTGAGCCACATCCCCAGCCCCATCGCCACAGTTTCAAACTGCAGCCTGACACTGTCAGTGAAAGGAAGTGGCCTGGTCGTCAGAAACCCACGTCAGCTGCGCAGGTGCTTCCAGCAGGCAGGTACGTGGCAAACGGTCCTTGCTGAGCTGTGCAGTGCACCCAGAAGCAAATGAGCTTCAGCCTCTCCAGGGCTCTTATCAATCCAAGCAGGACAGAGGGTGGAGGCAGAGCGGGAGATGCCACGGGGCAGCGATGTCCAAGAGGTCCTCCCAGAGGAGGCGGAGGCAGCAGAGGGCAGGGACAATGGCTGCTGCCATCTGGAGGAGCCTCGGAGTGCAGGAATACACTCCCCGCTGACTAGAGAAAGAGGCTGTGGTGCTGAATGCTGGAAACGTGTATAAAACAGTAAGATTGAAGACCCTTGGGGCAGAGCTGTGAGGGAGGAACAATAACTGTCTACTTGACTGTCCACATTTCTCATAGATGAAAACCCATCTTTTTAAATTTTCTGCCAGGCATTGTGGTGCACACCTGTAACCCCAGCACTCAGGAGGCTGAGGCAGGAGGATCGTCATGAGTTGGAGGCCAGCTTGGACTAAACAGTGAGCTCAAAGCCAGCCTGAACTACATAGCAAGACCCTGTCTCAAAAAACAAATAAATTTATAAATAAATACCCTACCAAACAATTGTAGCGAGGTGTGGTGGCACACTCCTGTAATCCCAGCACTCTGGGGGCTGAGGCAGAAATATCACAAATTCTAGCCCAGACCGGGCAACTTAGTGAGGCCCTGTCTCAACAAAAAAAAACAAAAAACAGCTAGGGATGTGGCACAGTGGGTTCGATCCCCAGTACTGAAACAAACACACATGGACAATGTATAAGCAGAAACAGACAGCAGAAACCAGCCTTTCATTTGGCTTCACTGGAAACCATCTGCCCCTCATGGGTTTATGGCAGCCAAAGTAGCCCCTTGCTCCGAGGTGCCAGTCTGTGCCACAGCCCCTCAGCTTCCCCTCTTGCACTTCAGCCTACTCCAGCCACCACTCAGAGAACTCTGTGGTCTCTGGTCTCCTCCCCTAGATCCCACCGAGGTTCCTCAGGACCCAGTACCCAGCTCTTGTCCCACCGGACTGCACAGCGAGACTTGGTCCACGACCCCTAGCACTGCCACCTTTGCAAATCTGACCTCTGCTTCCCACGGCCTCACTCACGCCCTATTTCCTGACACATCTCAGGGCCGGCTTTGGTCCCCTCTGCTTGTGATCACGCAGAAGTACAAACACATAGTTGAACCAGAGCTCCCTGGCATGGATCAAGTCTGACCATCCGCCCAAGGTGGCGAGAGCGTGTCCCAACTAATGCGACAGGCGGTGTGATGTTTCTGTGAGCGCTCGGCAGTGCAAGGAGCACACACAGGCCCCGAGGGGCCTCAGGGTGGGCAATTGCCTTCATCCTAATGCCTAGATTCAGAATATAGAAGGACTTACAGCGCTCTGGCCCTGCACGACTAAAAATGTCTTACACCTCTTCCTGCGCATCCCCCTGTGTGTGCACGGTGGTGCCTGATGTCCTGTGGATAATGATAAATCTTTAAGGAGTGAGTGGATACATTTTGAATGAATTAGATTTCAAAATTTGCTACACTCAGGCATGGTGGGATGTGCACGTAATCCCAGCACTCACCAGGCTGAGGCAGGAATACCTCCACAAGTTCAAGGCCAGCCTGGGCTGCATGGTGAGTTCAAGGCCAGCCTGAACTACATAGCAAGACCCTGTCTCAAAAAAAAAACAATAAATAAACCACATAGTGAGAGCCTGTCAAAAAAACAAACCAAGAAGTTGCTGGAGATTTTTCACCTTAGTTTTAATGCAGACAGATTCAGGGGCAGATAGTTTCCAATGGGAAGATTCAGATTTGAAGATCATCACGGTACAAAATATAAAACTTAGCTCTTCTAATGAAGTTGCTTCGCTGTTGACTATCACATTTTACTTTACAGATGGGAAGATAACTTCGGAGAGGTTAGGTCAGGGGGCAGCAACTTTTCTTTTCTTTTTTCTTTTTTTCAAGGCCCAGACAAAAAATGCTTTAGGCTTTGTGGTCCATACAACCTCTGCCCGGGCATCTCCCCCCGCAGTGTGCACGAGCCTGTGTGCCAGCGCACACAAGCACGGTCGCGTTCTAATAAAACTTTATGCATAAACAGGCGGGAGCAGGCTTCGTCTGTGGACATGGGTTTGCCAACTCTGGGTTGAGGCTTCCAAGGTCACAAACGAGCCAAGAAAGGAAACAAAGACGAGTGCCCAACAGGTGCTAACTGGCTACCAGCCAGGGGACCCCAGCGGGCTCTTCCCGCGTCCCCGTGATGGCTCCACGCACCCGGGAGGTCTGCCTGAATGCTTGACCATCAAGAAAACCAGGGAATACAGGCTAATTAATTAGTCAGGACTTTGAAATCCGCAGAGGAAAGGGCCTCATAGTAAGTGCAAACTGTCATCCTCAGTAATATATTTGTGGCACTTTCATTAAATTTTCTCTCAAATCTTGAAAAATACGCATCTCTGGTTGCCAGGCTTTCCATCGTTATATAATGATGTAGCCTCCCCAAATAATCATTTTTTAGTTTGTGATACGCAGTGGGGCACGGTGCCAGCTGCTGAGACTGGATGGAGCTGTTTAATTTGAGACTTATTAGCAGGGCACAGGTGAAAATGAATAGCCTCTGTGAAATCCGCTCACAGTGTACAAAATAGCGATGCCTATTGTTCAGGGAAGCTCTCGGGGAGAAGAGGCGAGCATTAGTTTAAGAAAACACTTCGTGTCATGATAAATAAATGTTAAAATACTTTGTATGAGGATAAATATGGAGATTTTAGGAACAAATATTAAAACAATTTTTATCATGCAAAGGCAGATATTTCCCTATGTGATTACCACATGTACAAACAACATATTCACTAAGAGAAAAAGGTCACAAAATTTGGTGATGGGAGTCCTTAAAAGAATTACATAAAAAATTTTCAGTCATAAAGAGTTAGAACTTTAAGCTTAGATTTTTTTTTGTTTGTTTGTTTCTTTGAGTCAGGGGTCTTGCTATATAGTGCAGGCTGCCCTTGAACTCACTGTGTAGCTCAGCCTAGCCTTGGATTTGTGGTGATCCTCCTGCTCAGCCTCCCGAGTGCTGGGATTAGAGGTGTACGCCACCACCACACCTGGCTTGCAATACATTTAGGGACTGTGAATCTATTTTATTTTTTGTCTTTTTGAGACAGGGTCTCGCTATGCAGTTCAGGCTGCACCTGAGCTCACTTTGTAGCCCAGGCTGGCCTCAAACTTGCAACGATCCTCCTGCCTCAGCCTCGTGAGTGCTGGGATTACAGGCATGCACCACTATGCCCGGGGGGACTGTAAATTTAAAAGGGCATCTAGGAATCAGTCTTTAGGAATATTCTAATCCTAGTGAATTCTCAAGACACAGTTCCAGAGCTCTTAAAACCCCAACTTTATGGAAGTTCTAATATTATGCTGCATTTCCTGAAGAGGGCTCGCCAGAAATTCTATCCTCAATGGCAAATCAGCTTATTCTCATCACTTAACAACATACTAGTCCTTAGAAAGACAAAGACTGGTGAGAGCATTACTAGTCAGTGGGATGGATACTGTGAGACGAATCAAAAAGAAAATCAGTCAAGCTGGGCACAGTGGTGCATGGCTGTACTCCCAGCACTCAGGAGGCTACAGCAGGAGGACTGGCCTGAGTTTGAGGGCAGCCTGGGCTACATAGTGAGGACCCCGTCTCAAAAATTAAAAAGAAAAGAAAAAACGACATGTATTATTCAGATCTTTAGAAGATTCTGAGCAGGAGGAGTACTGTGATCTTGTTACTGGGTTCTGGGGTGCTGTGGGCTCTTTTCAAGGATTCTTTCTAGGTTTTTGTTGTCCTGAACAAAGATGCCTGAGAAAGATAATGAGGTTTTACATTCATTAAAGGTAAAAGCCAGGCGTGGCAGTGATTACAACGGTAATCCCAGCACTCAGAAGGCTGAGGCAGGAGAATTACTGTGAGTTTGGGGCCAGGTGGGGCTACATAGTGAATCAAAGGCCAGCCTGCAGTACGTAGTGAGACTCTGTCTTTTAAAAAAAAGGAAAGAAAAGAAAAGAAAAAGAAACAAAGCAAGGCTGGAAACACAAGCCAGCCCCCTAACGAGGGAGGACATCCAGTTAGGCTTTAATCAGCATTCCCCGAAACTGGAGCCACTGCTCCTGCACTCCCCCCCTTCGGCCCCCGGAGGGCACACCTGATCCCCAGACTGGGGTCACAGCCTTCTCGACCCGTGCACCCCAGGGCTGGGACAGGCTCAGAGCCTTCCAGTGTCTGCACAGATGGGCACCTCTATTTGCTCCCCAAAATCATTCACAATGGAAGAAGGCTGTTGTCCCCAAATAACTGAGCTTTTTCTCCCAGGAAGGGGAAGTGGATTGTTGGAGAAATAACAGGAAAAAGTAGTAAATCTTCTATTCCTTCCTGTCTGCTTCCAGACAGGCAAAGCAGAATCACAGAGGCTTCTGTCCTTTCACTTCCAAGCTGTAATCATGCGATTGTCCCCACTTAGGGTGCTGGGGTGCTCAGGCCCTACTGCCTCAAACATTGTGGGCCCCGAGTGAGGCTCCCACCCTGCCTCTGTGATGGGGGGTCTTCATGGGCTGATTATTCCGAGATGCAGCTTCTCAGGCAGAGGTGACCCTCCCTAGAAGAGAATTACACCCACAGTCATCTCCATGGGCAAGGGTGTCTCCTGCTTGGAATGCTCTCACTCGTGCTAAGACCAGACATGATAGGTAGCCAATGTGGTGGTGCATACTTATAATCCCAGCACTCTCGGAGGCTGAGGCAGGAGGATCACAAGTTCAAACCCAGCCTGGGCAATTTAATGATTTAAGTAAGACCCCATCTCAAAATAACAGCATAAAAAGGGATAAAGGGGTAGCTCAGTGTGAAGGTCTTAGGTTCAATGCTTTGTACCCAGAAAATAAAAGGATCCTAAGTGCTGTCTGTTCCTTGGGCATACTCACATGCCAAGAGAATCATTTTATAAGCAAACTTCTTTCCCCGGGACCATTTATTTCTCTGAAAATCAATTTATTTACTTATTCATTTATTTACTTTTTGTTGTGCATTTCTTTTTTTCTCAGTTTGTTTTTGAGACAGACTCTCACTACATAGCTCTGGCTGGCCTTAAACTCACTATGTAGGTGGGCCTCAGACTCTCAGTGATACTCCTGCCTCAGCCTCCTGAGTGCTGGGATGACAGGTTTATACCACCATGCCTGGCCAGGTTTTGTTTTTTATGAGTACGTGTTTGCAGAATATAATGAGTACATTCCTCATGACTCCTTGGAATTGTCTACATTCCCCATTTTTCCCTCCCCTATAGAAAAGGGATTTTAAACTTCTGACTTTTGTCAGGGCAAAGGTGGTTGGGTACTCACATGC